AGCCCCTGTGTGACTCTTCTGCACTTTGTGGGGAGCAAACAGGACTGCAGAAGTCCCTGGCTATGTCCCTGTAGTCAGATATGAAATGGTGACATCAGTGCTGAGATCTGGTGGGATCCTCTGATGGGAGATCTCAGTGCTGCAGTAATCCTTTCCTATCTGGCTACAGGGACATTGCCAGATGCATTTGCAATCCTGTCCACTTTCCATGAAGCACAGAATGGCCATGTGGGAAGTCAGATGGGCTGCAGATGGCTCAGCTTAGTGTAGGTTGATGTGGTCCTACTATACCATGCTGAGCCACATAGGATTGTGGCCCCCGAGTATGAAATGCCATCTCCACAGTCCAGGATCTTGGCTGATTTCTTTGGATTGCTAGCGATGTCCCTCTGGAAGCACCTTCAAGCACCCTAGCCCAGAAGGCAACATGGCACCTTTGGAAGGTGCTCTTGGGGTGATTCACTGCTATGTCCATCCCCACTTCAGAAACCATCAGAACCACCATTGGAGATATGCACCTGCGCCTCTTGGGCCCTCTGTCTACTTACAAGGCTGAACTGCCATGGCTGAACTGAAGCTGGTTTTTGATACTGCTTTTGCTCTGCTAATGCAGCCCCTGACCCTTTTGCTAGACTGGAGATGGGGGTGCTGAGCCATGTTTTGTCTCAGTGCTGTTGGCCAGAGCAAAACAGATTGGCTTAATCCAGGTTTCGTTGGGGGATTGGCACAAGAAGGTCTGTGCTGAGCTAGCTGTTGACATATTTTGGTTCTTGAAGCAGGACAAACCTGTCAAGATGACACCTTTGGTCTCCCTTCCATCTCTAGGATCCAGGAGCCATTTATTTACTTCCAGCTGTTGCTTTGCCCATGAATTTCTGTCAAATCTATCCAGTGGCACAAGGCTGCAATTTTCTAAAAACATTTTAACTGTGTTTGACATAACACATCATGAAATATGCAATTTTTTTCTTAACAGCGAGAAGGAAAAGGAGTGGATGTCCACAGGGGAGATGGAGGGGAACATGCAATACTACCTTTGGCTTCAGAGTTGTCAACATATTTCTGACAGTGTGTGCAAAATCTCTGGAAAGCCTAACCTGCTGAATTTCTGTCTGCAAGGGAGCTGCTGAAAGCACAGGAGCCCTGTCAGGAAAAAAAGAAAAGAAAAAGAATTAGCTACCCTACTTTCTCTCTGTAGATCAGGCTGGGAATCTTCCAGCTCTCCAGTTGCACTCTTGGACTGTACCTCCCAGCAGTCTTAGCCAAAGGAAGATTTTATAACTTGGCTTTTCAAAAATGATGTTGCAGTGGTCCAATAAAATAGTTTCCCCAGTTTGGTGGCAGTTGGTGGCTTTCATGTTTAGCGAAGCTTTGAAAGACTGGACTTTCAGCCTGGACTTTCTAAGGGACCTTCTAAAGCTCACCCATATTTGGGGCACCAACTTCAGCACCTTGGAGAGGTCCTTGAGCTATCCAAGGTGCTGAATGGCATCCATCAACTAGGAAGGGACCTTGGCTATAGGGCCCTTGAAGAGTGGGATAAAAGCTGGACTAGATTCCTCACTGCTGACCTGGGATCCAATAGCAGCCATTCACTCAACTGTTTTTAGAACTTAAAATGGGGTCTGCAATCCTTCCCCATCTGCTTCTAGATATCTCCCATGTTCTTTTCCCCCCACCAGGGTGCATCTGCAGGAACATTTTGTTGCTGCCGCTCCTAAACCAGTGGGATCATTCTTGGTGGTCATTAAATCACCCAGCAAATGTACCCTCTGTCCACCCAGATCCATCGCAAGATGCCCAGTAGGAACCCTTGGGAGCCATGAAGAGAAGAACAATATAAAGAGAAGGGCTTGGTTGGAGAGGGCCTACCTAGAGGGTCTTCTCTGGCAGAGGAGAGTGTTGTGCTTTTCCTCTTTTATTTTAATTTGTACCTTCATGTTCCACTGTCATGACCCATGATCTATCATATTGCA